CTGGTTCTGCTCAGGAGCTGCTCAAACCCAGGACTTGGACCTGGTTCTAGCCAGGAGCTCCTTAAACCTGGGATAGACCTGGTTCTGGCCAGGAAATGCTCAAACTTGGACCTGGTTCTGGCCAGGAGCTTCTTAAACCTGGGCCTGGTTCTGCTCAGGAGCTGCTCAAAGCTGGACCTGGTTCTGGCCAGGAAATGCTCAAACTTGGACCTGGTTCTGGCCAGGAGCTGCTCAGAGCTGGGCTTGGATGTGGTTCTGCTCAGGAGCTGCTCAGAGCTGGAGTTTGGGGCTGGGATAGGCCTGGCTCTGCTCAGGAGCTACTCAAACTTGGGCCTGGTTCTGGCCAGGAAATGCTCAAACTTGGATGTGGTTCTGCGCAGGAGCTGCTCAAAGTTGGGCCTGCTCAAAGTTGGCCAGGAACTTCTCAAACCCAGGGTTTGGGCTGGGCTTTGCTCAGGAGCTGCTCAGAGCTGGGCCTGGTTCTGGCCAGGAAATGCTCAAACTTGGACCTGGTTCTGGTCAGGAACTTCTCAAACCCAGGGTTTGGGCCTGGCTTTGCTCAGGAGCTGCTCAAAGCTGGACCTGGTTCTGCCCAGGAACTGCTCAAACCTGGGTCTGGTTCTGCTCAGGAGCTGCTCAAAGTTGGACCTGGTTCTGGCTGGTACCGGTCAGCCTGGGGGAAATGGGGGTGAGAGGGGGTTAGGGCTGGGTCTAGGCCTGGTTCTGGCCAGGAGCTGCTTAAACCTGGGCCTGGTTCTGGCCAAGAGCTGCTCAAACCTGGGCCTGGTTCTGGCTGGTACTGGTCAGCCTGGAGGAAAGGCAGGTGAGAGGGGATTTGGGGGGTTAGGGCTGGGTCTGGCCAGGAGAGGCTTAAATCTGAGCCTGGGTCTGGCCAGGAACTTCTCAAACCCAGGGTTTGGGCCTGGCTTTGCTCAGGAGCTGCTCAGAGCTGGGATAGGCCTGGTTCTGGCCAGGAGCTGCTCAAACTTGGGCCCGGTTCTGGCTGGTACCGGTCAGCCTGGGGGAAATGGGGGGAGAGGGGGTTAGGGCTGGATCTGGCCAGGAGAGGCTTAAACCTGGGCCTGGTTCTGCTCAGGAGCTTCCCAAACCCAGGACTTGGACCTGGTTCTGGCCAGGAGCTCCTTAAACCTGGGATAGACCTGGTTCTGCTCAGGAGCTGCTCAGAGCTGGGCCTGGTTCTGGCTGGTACCGGTCAGCCTGGCATGGGGGAAATGGGGGGACAGGCCTGGTTTAGCTCAGGGGCTTCTTAAACCTGGGACAGACCTGGCTTAGCTCAGGAGCTGCTCAAACTTGGACCTGGTTCTGCCCAGGAGCTTCTTAAACCTGGGACAGACCTGGCTTAGCTCAGGAGCTGCTCAAAGCTGGGTCTGAGTCTGGTCAGGAACTTCT